TAATATTGTAATATCGCAAAAATATTACGGAAATATTACTGTGATATTATATATATATTACGTGTTATGTGAGTAGTTATATTCACCAAACAATTTAGTTGAACATATTATTGAATTAAATCTTAGTTACTATGATTAACGTTTTTCAGCGTGGTATTATATGTTTAATGCATATATGTTTATATATGGAAAGTATTATATGTTCTTCATGATTTTGTTACTCTTTCTTATATTTTATCATAATTTTCAATAAAAATAAAATATATAAAGGGTATACATTTTCTTTTCCTTTCTTTTAATATTATCCTGACATTTTATGGTATTAAAAGTAATATTATTTCCAGCACAAAGCAACATTAAATGTAATATTGACCAACCTTGTATTAATATTTGGTTGCATCATTTCTTTAATGTTCCGGAAAGTAACATTTTAAGATCAGAATAATATTCTTCTCACGTTTACAAATGTTACTCAAATATTTTCCCTAATGTCATATTTAATATTGCTTTAATATTTTTGTACTATGTGGGAAAATGCGTTGTGATTATGCGGCAAGAAACATAAAAAAAGCTTCAACCAAATTACACACTTATATATGTAAAAAGAACACACTTAGATTTTCAGAGCGGCTGGCTAAAAATGCTAGATAACTACTGATTTACCGAATGTTATTGCATCTGTGAACTAAGTATACCCAGCGCATCGTCGCAACATAACCTCTACGATATGTTGACGTTCAGAGTGTACGAAATAAATTCTTTAGCAATCTCTGCGTCTTTTGTCTGTCGAAAGTGAATCTGGTGCGGAAATAAATATCGAGAATAGCAATACGCGATTGTTGAGACGTAAATACATCGTTGAGACGTAAGTACAGTAAATACATCAGAAAGTAAATACATCAGAAAGTAATATCTGCTCGCGTTTTTCTCGAAACATCCAATTAAAGTTTGTCGCGACGTGACGAGTCGGCGTCTCTTATTATCGACTTATTCAAAAATCACAGAACCTAGCGGATTTATTAAATAAAAATCAAAAATTTAGTATCAGAATGAGAAAGGAAGATGAAATGACGCCAGAGACGTTCGCAACGGTGGATCTCGAGAGGTTAACGTCAATCTGTTAGTAAGAAAGGAAAAAGTGTATCCCATAGATCGCGTCGAATCGTGACACTGTTTACGTTTTGACGCGCGTCAAAATTATATGCGTTAATTATACGGACATCTATGTTCTTTTTGCATCGAGCAGCAGTTATGAACATATTGATTGACGTTGCTTCGTGTTTCTCTGTCCGTCTAAAATGAGTATCGGCAGTCGAGAATAGCGATATGCGATTGTCAAGACGAATCGTAAGTGCGTTACTAGGATGTAATATTTGTCGATATATGCAATTGGTACTTGTCGAGACGTTTCAAGTCTGCGTTTTTGTCATTTGTTACAATTGACTCAAGTAGCAGTAGAATCGGACGATCGTCGGTTTTATAACTCGGGAATTAGAAATGCGTCGATAATCAGAAAGAAAGAGGAAAAGACGACGTCAAAAGCATTCGCGATGCCAAATCTCGAGTGGTATTGTTAGTCGGTTCGTAAGAGAGAGAAGGATATACACAGCACGTAGTTATAGGATCGCGACACTGTCGCAGCGCGGCGCTATCTACTACACTGTCAATTACGCGCTCACTTTCCAGGCCGAGCAACCGCCATTACCACATTGACATTGCTCCGCGTTTCACACATTTTTTGTCCGCCGAAAGTGAGCCTCGCTCGTAAATGAGTATCAGAAGTGTGGAGAATGGCAATGTACGATCGTCAGGACGAATCGTAAGTATGTTATTAGAAAATAATCTCCTTTTTTATATGTAACCGGTGTTTCTATCACTTGTTACATTTGATTTAAATAGTAGTAGAGTCGGACGATCGTCGGATTTATAACTCGGGAATTAGAAATTCGCTGATAATCAGAGAGAAAGAGAGCGAGACAATGAGCCAAGAGCATTCGCGACACGGAATCTTAAGTGGTAACTTAAGTCAGTTAGTACGAGAGAGAAGAATGTACACAGCACGTAGCTGCAGGATCGCGACATCATCGCGGCGCGGCGCTAATTGCCGGCTACGCCATCAATTGCGCGCTTATTTTCGATCTTTCCAGGCCAAGTAACCGCCATTACCATCGATTGACATCGCTCCGCGTTTCATACACCTTTTGTCCGTCGAAAGTAAATCTCGCCCATAAATGAGTATCAGGAGTGTGGAGAATAGTGATGTGCGATCGTCGCAAGACGAGTTGTAAGTACGTTATTAGAGAGTAACCTCCTTTTTTGTCGGTAGCCGGTGCTTGTCGCGACGTGTTGAGTCGGCGTCTTTGATACTTGGTTCATTTGACTCAAATAGAATAGAACAATCGTCGTATTTATAACTCGGGAATGAGAAATTTGCTGATAATTAGAGAAAAAGAGGATAAGATAATGCCACGAATATTCGCGATGTCGAATCTTGGGAGATAGCGTCGGTCAGTTAGTGAGAGAGAGAGAGAGAGAGAGAGAGAGAGAGAGAGAGAGAGAGAGAGAGAGAGGGAGAGAGAGAG